GCATCGGGCTCCCTGCTCAGCGGGAAGCCTGCTTCTCCCTCTGCCGCTCCCCCTGCTTGTGTTCCCTCTCTCGCTGTGTCTCTTTCTGTCAAATAAATAAATAAAATCTTTAAAATATATATATATATAATTTGGGGAGACTATACTAAGAATTATCCTTTTCATTTTCATATGAATTCATTTTTATATGAATGCATCTGACATGAATCCCTATTGTGTGCCAGACTATGGAAGATACAAGAACAAAAGTCTCTCTGTCCCCAGGAGAGTCTAGAAAACAAAAATAAATTAAATGGCTATACAAGTCTACTTGCACAGGAAATAACATTGGTTCTCTATGGCTAGAACATCAGAGTAAAGAAGTTTTGACCTAGGTCATGCCCTTTTTTCCAGAACACCCCAATGAAATGTAAGAGAAAAATAACATTTTTGGTTAGTGTTAAACATTTCCATGTCCTTTTCTTTCTCTTTTCATTACTTAGCCTAACTGTTCTTGAAGCTTTTATTCCTTTTGGTTTTTTCCTTCACTTATTTGCATGATGTCTTTCAAGATGCATTTCTCTTGAGGCTCTTGATTCCCTTCATGGGGGTTCCTCATCAGTATGGTAGATGAGTATTATTGACAAAAGTAGCCACCATCCTTCTGTTGCACCTTTAAGAGAAGGTTGTTTTTTTTTTTTAATCGGCATCATCATGTAAGAAATAAAATGTCCACGTGTGTGTGTATATATATATATATATATATATATATATATATATTTTTTTTTAGTAATCTCTATACATAATGTGGGGCTCAAACCTATGACCTGGAGATCAAGAGTCACATGCTCTTCTAACTGAGCCAGCCAGGCACCCCCTAAAATGTCCACTTGTATAAAGGCACAGCAAAAAAGCAACTGGGGACACATTTCCAAACCAAATAAAGTGACTTCAAACCATAGATGTCATCTACATAGAACTTTGGTGATAGTCTTATTGGCCTGATATCTCTGAACAATTAAAGTAACAGGAAAGCCTCCCACGGTCCATAATTTTTAGACTCTGGAAAAAGCATTTTGAGAACACACTTTTTGTAAGACTTATTTTGGGTTTATTTATTTATGAGTAAAGCATTCTACTTTGGTATTTCTTCCTTGCCTATATTTTGTCTCCTAAACTGAGGTAAGTCAATGTCACCTACAATTTTCAGAGCTGAATTGCCTGGCCTGTTCAGGCCAATGACTCTCCTAAGTAACGTACTTTAAATGACATTGGATTGTGTCATGCACCTTCCCGGAAGCTGTGCATGTGCGTGCGTGTCTACGTATGTGTATGTATTTCAAGAGACATCAATCCCAAGCAATATTCTTGAAAGGCCTTTGTGTTCTTTTCAGTGCCAGCACTTCAAATATTGCCAGAATAGAAGAAATGGAGAGACTTTTGAAGCAGGCTCATGCAGAAAAGACCCGACTGCTTGAATCCAGGGTAGGCATAATGTCTTTATGCCAGAGGTCAGTGAGGCAATGGTTCATCTTGCCTGCATGGGACAGGAAACTGTCCTTGGGCCTTGAGAAGCAATATAATCTTGGGAGTAGTCACTCAACCCTTCTGGCCTCGTTTTTTTTTTTTTTTTATCTGAAAAGTAAGGGTGCTGGAGAGGATTTCTAAGCCTCCTTACTGCACTACAATTTTTTGTAATTTAAAATATGTATAGTGTCAACGTCGACCGAAATCAGTGCTTTGTATGGTATTTTCCCTTTGATGGCCACTTTGTTTGCCTGCCAAGGAACCAGGAGGAATGTCATATCTTTATGGACTCTCCCTTCCTTGCCAGCTTGTGTGAACTGTGCTATTGTAATACTTAAAATCCCACGTTATTGTGACTGTATTTCAAGCCAGAATCTGAACTTCCTTAGGAATCCCCACAAATGCCTTTGCATCCTGCCTTAAAGGGCCCCTCCTTTCCTCTTCTGATTTCCCCATGAGCTTCCTCTGCAACCGACCTTCTTCTTCAGCCAGGAAGCCACAGAGCAACAAAGGAACTGGAAGGACCAGGACCCATGGCCTTCGGTTAGAAGATGGCCCACAGAAAAGAGGACTAAATGCCATGACTAGTGTTGGGTGACGATTTGTGATCCTTTTTATTAAAAGTGGGAGAGTGGTCCCACTTTTCAGTCATCTGTATGAAGTGACTGAATACCACAAGCTGGGTTTTCACTTAATATTCAATTGTTAATTAAATGTGGTGGTTGCCTTTCTGTGTGGAATGATTTTGAAAACTACGTGAGAGGTGATTTTAGTCTAGGTGGTCTATTGGATGAGCCCAGGCTATACAACCAGCAATTATCTAGTGAGAATTTTCTTTGCCCTTAGTTGGAATCATTCAAGTGTGACCAGCATGTCTTAAAATTTGTTCTGCATAATGATATTTAGGAACGGGAAATGGAAGCCAAGAAACGAGCTCTGGAAGAAGAAAAACGACGGCGAGAACTCCTGGAAAAACGATTGCAGGAGGAAACTAGCCAGCGGCAGAAGTTAATCGAAAAGGAAGTAAAAATCAGGGAGAAACAAAGGGCACAGGTTGGTGGAACAATCTGGATGGATTAGAATAGGTCGCCCCCTGGTGGTCATTCTTTAGAAGACGGTTGTGCTTGTCAGGATGCCTTTCTGGGCACCTCCGGTCCGCAGCCCTTGACATGTGACTGCTAAGAGACCGGTAGGGGTTCAGAGACCAAAAAATGTATGTTTATCTCAAAACTCATTGGGACCTACTAACCAAATGACACTTTTCTCTAGTCATGCGTCCAACATTTTTATGGGAGAGGCATTTTTTCTTCTACCCATTTTTTGCGGTATATTTAAAAGGAGCCTGTTTTTCTGAGCAGCTTTGAAAAACGCAGGTGGACTTGCTACTGAAAACAAATACAAGACCCAAACTAAAACCTCTGGTTGAGGAAGAGAAGAGGTTCTATTAAGTCATTTTTGGAAGCAAACACTCCAGAACAAAATAATTTTACCAACCCAATTTTTTTGGTAGTGTTAGTGGGTTTTTTGTTTTCGTTTGGTTTTCTAACCACTGTATTGTCACACATGTCCCCTTTGCTACAGCCGTCCACACATACGTGTGCAAGATTACTGAACTCAAGCAAAGCTCAGGAAAGCCACACATTTCCTTTAACTTCCTCTCTTGCTTATCATAGAGTTTAATTCTCTGTCACTAAACCTGCCTACATAATATATGTTTGCTGAGGAACTAAAATAAAATTTCATACAGTACCACTTAACGCAGGGTTCAAATCCATTTTGCCAAGGTTTACTAGACTTCATAAAAGGTGCCATTTCCCTTATTCTTTATAATTGCTGGCAGTTTGATAGCACAGCAGTGAGAGACTATCTTGAAGACTCTCTGTGCTTTGAGGTATCAGTGTCTGTGACATCTGGCTGAAGTCAAATACCACAGAATCAAAGGCAAAACACTGAAGGAAAAATACAAAGGAAAATGTGATCATTTTATTTCATTATGTCCACCCTCTTCCAAATTATGATTTGCAGGGGAGGTCATCCATGCCTGTTTGGTATTTGAAGCCAAACCAGAAAGCATAATTTTATTTTAATCCTAATTATAAGGTTTGCCTCTAAGTATATATTTAGGTCATTTTCCCCAGGGCAGAGGGGTGGGGTTATTTAACGGAATAAACTAAAGCACCATTTTAGAAATATGACCCATGGCGATACGTGCTTCTTAGATTAGATGAACCTTTCCTCTAGCCATAGTAAAATAAAAGACATCTTTGTACATCTTGTCCATATCTGCTCATTGGGCAGTTCATTGAGTATGGCTTTGATTCTACTTCTTACCTTATTTTAGCTTTCACTTTTCAAAGCATACATCTCTGCCTTTGGTTTCTATCAGAAAGTGTGGGGAGCTGATGTGTATAACTTTGGGTGGGGGGTGTACTTACTAAATAATGTTCACCAGTCAGGTCGTGTCTGAGATTATTTGAGAACTGATGTTAGGTTGTATAGGGAGAAGTCCGGGGAACTTCACAGGAGAAGAGTCTTCATTTGTAGGAGGCAGCCCAGGGAACTTCATGCCTCATATGATTCTCTATTTTTAAGTGCTAAGTACCTCTTATAAAGCTAAAGTTAATGGCATTTTCCCATTTTCTCGTCTGTCCATTTCAAGGAGTAGAATCTATTCCCCTGAGTTTATCCGCCCCTCACCCCCGCATATCGTAGCATCCTTCTTAAAATACTAAGCACTCTTTTAAACTCCAAAGGATAATGTTTATCTTAAGTTCTCATAATCACATGGACATTTTAACGCTTAGGCTTTTCAGTTCATGTCCACTCCTAAACATCTGTGACCTGAAACGAAATGATTAATTAGCTATATATGACATGGGTTTGTGCTTTTCCAGGCTCGACCTCTGACACGCTATCTGCCTGTCCGGAAGGAAGACTTCGATTTGCGAAGCCATGTAGAGACTGCTGGCCACAATATCGATACCTGTTACCATGTGTCGATCACAGAGAAGACCTGCCGAGGATTCCTTATCAAAATGGGTGGAAAAATTAAAACTTGGAAAAAACGATGGTTCGTTTTTGATCGGAACAAACGCACATTCTCTTATTATGCAGGTGAGTGAGAAAAAAAAACCCCTAAGTGATATATTCAAATCAGGAACTCTCTGTTAAAGAGCAAAAACATCAGGATGAATGGGTTGATTGGTAAGTAATAGAATTAACGGCAGTCTTAGCTTTGCAGGTATGTATTATCTTATATTCAGGTTATATAGTCCCCCTGATATGAATTTCGTCTCTAAAAATAATAAAAACTATGTTATTTAAAAAGTGTGAATTCGTGGGGCACCTGGGTGGCTCAGTCGGTTAAGCGTCTGCCTTCGGCTCAGGTCATGGTCCCAGGGTCCTGGGATCGAGTCCTGCATCGGGCTCCCTGCTCAGCAGGGAGCCTGCTTCTCCCTCTGCCTGCCGCCCCCCCTGCTTGTGCGCTCTCTCTCTCTGACAAATAAATAAATAAAAATCTTTAAAAAAAAAAGTGTGAATTCATCTCTTCTAGTTCTGAAATAAGCTGAAGTCCAAATAAGTAGTAAATGGAATTTTTCTTTTTAGACCAAAATATTGACTTTTAAACCATGAGGCCAGAAAAAAGGTTTCTATTTATTTATTTATGGTCATCTGCCCTATTTAAGTCACACACAATTAGGCAGCCTTGGCTGACAGTCACTCAGCTAGAGTTTATAAAGTAGAAGGTTATTGAAGCAGAGGGTAAAGCTCATCAGTGAATAAGTGAACAAGTAAGTATTTATTAAGTGACTGAAATCTTTTTGGATTCTTTAAATGATGGATTATGAGAAACGTACCCTACTGAATCTTCTGAAAATACCGGAATGTGGATGTAACTGCTGTACTTATTAAGAAGTCTCCTGGATCACATTGGAAACACGTCCATTGTCAGCACAGCTGGAGTTCTGCTCTCTTCAACAACTGAAGAAAAGTGGCATCATGCCAGAGCTTGTGAAGAGACCCGTCTCTGTGGTGACGGTACCAGCGTTGATGAGCACTATCAGAAATTGTTACATTGATGTCATAAATAAGTAACTGTCCAATCCCTCCATCTATAGTGTGAGGCCAGGATACGCTTATGAAGAGAAGTGCGAGTGACCGAGAAGCATGTGAAAGAGGGGAAACACGGGCTGTGGGGCCCCAGAGTTGGGGTGAGGAAGGGGCAGGGGCTCATACTTCCATTTAGGGGCTCTCTGGTGGGGCTCCAGTTAATGCAGGAGCTAGCGGCCTGAAGCAAATGGCCTAACCCTCAGGAGTTCCCCGCTTGCCTCTCTCGGGCTTTCTGATGTCGGGTTTAATGAGAATCCAGAGATGTTCTCTTCAGTTAGTACAACAGAAAAGATGCTAGTTTAATGAGAAATGCCAATTTAGTGTCTGCAAAATCCATAAACAAACCTTTGTGCTGTGCTAGTCTCCACAGACAATCTCACCCAGAATTTTTCAAAACTAAAATTTTAATTATCAATTTCAGACAAAACAGCTTCACTCTTCTCTGCTTCTCTTCTCCTTGCTTCTTTTGTCAGCCCGGTCAGTTGCTCAGTTCCCCTTCCTTCTGACCCATGTCAGAACCTATGCTCCTTCTGACCATGTAAATGCATTTTTCCAAATTCAAACTTCTTGGTGATCGGTTTTTGATTTTTTTGTTAAGGACCAAAAACATTTTGGTATATGAATGATTACTAAGAACTGTAATACATAAGACAGGCGAAAATTATATTTCATTCGGGTCTTTATTTTTATTTTTTTAAAGCTTTTATTTATTTATTTGAGAGCAAATGCAAGAGACAAAGCACAAGCAGGAGGGTGGGGCAGGGAGAAAGAGAAGCAGACTCCCTGCTGAGCGGGGAGCCCCACACAGGACTCAATCCCAGGACCCTGGGATCATGACCTCAGCTGAAGGCAGATGCTTAACTGACTGAGCCACCCAGGCGCCCCTCATTCAGGTTTTTAATATTTACATATTATATAACTGGCCGGTGAGTCCTAGTTTGACAAATGGCTCTGTTTATAGCCCTCATTAGTTTGTCGGCTCGCCTCACCCCCACCCCCACTCTCCCCAAACATCACCAAGTGCAGGAATAGATCAGTCCACAGGAAGCCATACAGATCGCAGTTCAGGCTGGACTGGACCCCCCAGGCGCTGCACCCCTTCAGCCGGCACGGAGGTAGATGGACACCATGTTTGTGAAGGAGCCGTCACCATGAGCGCTGACAGAGTCCTAAGTCCCTGTGCTGATCATGCCCTTGGCCTCTATATTAACTGAGTACCCTTAGAAGAGTCTCTAAAGAAAACTGAGACCCAGAAAATATATCTGTAAATTGATGGGATAATGCTATGGAAACTGAATGAATAGCTTTCTCGTGTCAGTTTACAATAGCATTATTGATTCTCTTAGTTCACCAAGTCCTTGTGAGGCCAGTATTTTTTTAGAGCTCTTTCTCATATAGGAAGAGCCCTACAAACAAAAGTTTCATTCCCCAGTTTTCTGCCTCCTTGAGACACTGATAAGAGTTACTTTTATCTCCAGATTTTATTTCACATCTGTTTTCAGAAAATGAAGTATTGCTGTATTCCCATTAATAGTGCAGAATCCTTCCCCGTGAGTATTTGAGATATACACTGACCTCTTTCACAGAAACTGATGGAAACCCACTGACTGTGGCATGAATTAAAGCAGTGTTTCCCGAGGAAGAGCAAAATGAACAAACATACAAATATGGTCCATGGTCAAACATGGTCAAATAAGTTAGGGAAGGGGTGCCTGAGTGGCTCAGTTGGATGGGCGGCTGCCTTCGGCTCAGGTCATGATCCCAGGGTCCTGGGATCGAGCCCCACATCGGGCGCTCTGTTCAGCGGGGAGCCTGCTTCTCCCTTCCCCCCACTTGTGCTCTATCTCTCGCTATCTCTCTCTCTCTCAATAAATAGATTAAATCTTTGAAAAGAAATAAATTAGGGAAATGCTGAGTTAAATGTACTACAACAGCTTTATATTTTCCACTGAACGTCTCAGGGCTGTTGTTTTTCAGACTAGCTTTTCATTGCTGAGAAAAGAAACATTCATGAATAAAATTCTTAAAAATAGAACAGAAGTCTATATAATGAAAGTCTCTTTCACGTCACAAAAGTTCTGACCTTTTCTCCATTTATATATATGTTTCAGTATATATATGTATTCTTTTTTAATACAGTTGGGACCAAATTATTCACTCTGTTCATAACTTGGTTCACATAACAGTATTTCAAGATTTTTCTCTGATGAGCACACGCAGATCTAGTCTTGAATTTCAGTGGCTGTGTGGATTCCACTGTATGGCTGGTCTCTAACTGAATCAGTCCCTTGTTAAATTCAAGCAGATTTTTTGCAGCCTTTTGCCGTAACAAACACAAATCCATGTGCATGTGCATGAGTAGCTCTGACACAATAAGGTTTGAGGAGTGGAATTGCTGAGTGAGAGGACTGTTTGCAGTTTTCCCAAACTGCCCTCCCAAAGCTTTCTTATTTGCACTTCCACCAGCAGCATATGATAGAGTCTCTTTCTTTGCAGCCTCTTTCATGCTTTTTTAAAATTCTTGAGTATGCTCTCATGCATTTATGATCTTTGCTGAGCGTAAGTTACAAAATATTTCAAGAACTTCTTAGATCACAGAGGGATGCTGTTTGGTTGATGGTTTGGTTGGTTGTTTTTGTTTCGTTTTACGTTTTTTTGTTGTTTATTTTTTATGGCAAATTTGATGAAATCTTAGAAACCGTTTGGAAAATGCTGCATTGAAAGGACGTTAAATTATTGACTTTGAAGCTCTGTTGGGAACAGGAGAAAAAGCATGCTGGACAAGAAATTCATAGGAAAGGAATATAAGTAGAATATTATTTTAAATTACGTCCAAAAAACACCCTTCTTACAAATTTCATTACAACAGCTCTACATACTGATGTTTCCGGGACAACCACTGTTCTGGAGAATGTGAAGAGATAATTTGTATCAGTGTCAGTGGTGTTTATACTTTGTGTGCTAACTTGACTGTCAGGAGTTCCCGGTTGTCTTGGCTGCAGATTTGCGGGAGAGCCTTGGGCAAAGTCAATTAGTCCCCGAGGGTTGGGCTGATTATTCCTTTTTGTGTGTTTGTTTTGTTTGTTTCAGTATAGAACTGGGCTAATGCCTTCACCTAAACTACCCAAATTAATCTTAGGTAATTTAAAAACTAGATAAATATTTTAATAATTATACTGAAATTACAATGTTTCCAGTCCATCAGTGGTGATAAAGTATTTTAACACTATTTATTACTGCAGACAAGCATGAAGCTAAATTAAAAGGAGTAATATACTTCCAAGCCATTGAAGAAGTGTATTATGATCACCTCAAGAACGCTAATAAGGTAAACACTGATTTTCAGATTTCTGTCCTTTGAATGCATAATTAAATTGGGAAAAAGATGTTTTTTGAACTCCAAGCAATTTAGATTTGTTGTTCTGACATAACTGATTGATATAATCATAATGGTTCTAGAAAAGCGAACATAGAAGTAATTAATGCAGCTGATCTTTTGTGGGGGAAAAAAGTCATGGTGAAGTGAGAAAATCTTCTGGTCATATTAATTTAGAAGATCCTGTTAAGTGACTTTTTGTGAGGTTCTAAGAAGGAGCTACTCCTTGGTTATAAGGAGGAATCTTAGTAAGGCTAAGAATAAGAGCTGTCACTTACCGAGCACCCACTATCAGCTAGGTACCCGGCTAGAGCTTTACCTACAAAGTAGCTGCTAAGAAGATTGATTGGTGAGCTCTCTGTGTGGTATTACTTATGCAGAAAGTTTGGAAAGACAGTCGATCTTGAGAAAGGTGTTGGAGGTGGGGCTACAGGTTATACTAGAGCAGTAGTAAAACCAATTTAGAGTTCTATAAATTAGAACTTTTAAAGAGGAAGAAGCCCTCACATATGTCTGTGTCATTTAATTTCAGGATGTTTGTTTTACATTCTTTTCCTCTTTTGATTTTTAGAGTCCTAATCCATTACTCACCTTTAGTGTCAAGACGCACGACAGAATCTACTATATGGTTGCGCCGTCGCCGGAAGCCATGCGCATCTGGATGGATGTTATAGTTACTGGGGCGGAAGGTTACACGCACTTCTTGTTGTAGTGAATAACAGTCTACTTCAGGGCTGACTGCAATAATCTCTTACAAGAATGAAGCCATACTCAATCCCAGATGGAAAGACCCAACAGACCCATCCCTCTCACTGTGTATACTCAGAACTCCTTTTATATTAATAGAAAGTCATTTATAAAAGAGAAAAAAGGGGTTTAAATTCAAAGCTGGATGATAAATAGCGAAAGGATTGAAGCACCTATGAGAAAAAAAAACACTGTTTTGGTAAATAGCATCACTTATAGGAATATTTCTTATAAACTATTTTTATCGATTGTTTACTTTGGTGAAATAAACGGAATGGTTTACAAAATGTATGTACTTGGAAATATGAAATTATTTTAGCACCCCAGTTATTGGCATTGACATTATTGGTTATCAACTGGTATTTTAAAAAGCATTTTGCTGAAGGTTATTTTATAAATAGAAGCAAATAAGGGTTTGGAGGGGAATATATTTTAGGAGGAGTTTTGCCCTAATTATTAAGTACTGCACCTAAACCAAAGACTTGATATGACTTCTGTTTAACAGTGGTAGTTTCAGGTGACGAACCGCATTTGGTGTTACTCTACATTTTAAAATGGTACTTTGATGCCATCAACTGTCTAGAAAGTTGACTCTGAACAGTTACCACTGGTATAAGCTACTGTACATAGAAAGCAAATCACTTTTTGTAAAAGAAGAAAAAACAAAAAGTTGTGTGTTTTAGATAGAAGCCGTCTTATTAGACATTCTGTCTCTTTGAGCAATTTAAAATAAGGAGAAGATTTCATATTTTGCTAAAGATTCCTCCATTCCCGGTGCTGAGAATAAAGGTAGCCAGCAGCCGATTTCCTTTAGATTGTCTGTTTCCTCTTTTTTGTAGAACACACCTGTTAAATGCAGCCTCACGTGCCATAACGATGAAATCAGAGCTCTGTTTTCACCAAAGAACAGACCAATTAAAATACTTATTTACAGAAGTAGCATAGTTCTATAAAAAGGAAAATGAACTTCGACTTAATGTTCTTTGTAATGTACTATTTTATTATGTATTTCTTTACATTTAGCCTTTGTTTTTTAGAGTTAAATTAATTTTTGTTGAATGAAATGACTTCAGGCAAGTCTCTTTTATAACAGTTTTTCAAATGACTTTATCCTGGTTTGTCATGTGTGTATTTGCAAGTATAAACATACTCTTTCCTAAAAGTTGGCAAATGAATAGAAGTAGGAAATAATGGCTTTGCTTACTAGGACAGGGTGAAATGATTAGATTGGAAGTGTCCGTAAAATCTTTGTCAGGCCTGACGGGGTACAATTTTTAAAACTTTGCAGTGTGGTTTGTATACATGTATACATGTTGCCAATAATAAGATTTTGCAACTGGATAACACATGATTTTACTTGAACAGTGGAGGACAAAGTCACGATTGCAAAAGACATTTTTATAATATGTTTTTTCAGAGATCACCCCAAACCCGTAACGATCTAAAAGAGTGAAATGCAATTGCTAAAATTTTGTTGGTTAATGTAAAGATGTAACTTGTCTGTACTGTACTTTATAGGATTATAAAGATATTCTAATCAGCATTATATTTTGCATGATGTAGTAAACCTTTTAAAATGTGTGTTAAAATATGTTGAATATGGATTAAAATGTTGACCAGATTTCACATTTGAAAATAAACTCATCTCTCATTAGGAGGTTACCTATTGGTGACATGACAGGGGATGGATTAATCAGCAAAAGTCAATTGTGAATCTCCACAAAAGTTGTTGTGTGCTAACATTATGATTTGTAGTTTTATAAATTGAAGTAATTCTAAGTCTCTCTGGTCACATTCCTGTTGCTAACAAAGTGAGATAACCCCTGACAAATCTGACATCTTACTGTCTTTTTGCAAAGATGCAGTTATTACTGGGGATTGCAAGGACTGTGCTTATTTCTCTGGCAGGGAAAAAATCATGTAGGTGTGAATTAAGGGCTTTACTTGATAGTGACCTCATTTGTCTTCCTGGGCTAAGGCAGCAGGTTTCAGAGAGAGAAATGGCCCTGAACAATATGTCCTATCACTCCTGTGAATGAAGGCAACATTGACAGTGGGTATGGAAACAGATTAGTTTATTTCAAGCCCATCACTGTGGGTAAAAGTATCTTCACCTGATCTAGCCAGTTTTTCCTGATTTGTTATACTGATAAGGGTGGATAGAGAAAACAGTCCTTGTATGACACTTTTCCCATTATGGAGACAAGGCAGGTTTTTTTGTTTGTTTGTTTGTTTGTTTGTTTCATTTTGCTGCACATAAAATGCAAGAAGATCTGCAAAAATAAAGGGAGAGAAGAAGGACAGGAATGATTGAGAATATTTGCAATTATCCAAAAACCACAGTGAGAAATGTTGATTATTAAGATATAAGGGATAGTGAAGTGATGTGCTTTGTGTATCACCTGACCGATTTAGGTCCTTTGTAGTCTACAACGGGCCTAGTGGAGAACTGGCAAAATAGCTCACCAGCTTTTGGAGTGCCACCTGAAATCAAGCAGCCCTGCTTGCTATTTCTGGCACTACACCACTCAAGAAAGATCTATTTAATTTTTATTTCACTAACTTTTTCAGTATGTTCCAACAAGACAGGTTCTTAGGACTCCAAAGATAGGCTGGATTCACTGTATCCAAACTTTGCCTTTAACTCTAGCATCAATCATTGCTCCACAATTTATGACCAGCATAGTAAAGTGGCTTTACTTAAGTATTATACCAACCACAGTAGCCTGAAGTAGAAAAAAGATCTTGCTTGTTGATGCTTGGCACCCCCAGGATTAATTTGAAGGGTGCCAGAGCTAGAATTCAAAAACCCTTGTACAATTTATTCAACCATTTTTCTATTATTGACTTCCATTTTTTCTTCTGCTTCCTTCTAAAAACGGTGATGTAGCTGATAGTATGCCTCCTTATGAACTAGTGTTGTTTTCTACAGGAGAGTCACAAACTGGGGCCACTGGGTCAAGGACATTGAAAATGATGCATATTTTAAATCCTAATAGGTGTGGTGAGATTACCTGACAGAAAAGTTTAGCAATTAACCTCCCACCAACCCTACACGAGTGCCAGTTTCCCAGCATCCTTGCCTATAGTTGCTCTTTTTAATTTTTGCGAATCTGATGCGTGAGAAAAATAACGTTATTTTTTCAACGCACATTTTTCAATTAGTGAAGTTGAACATCTTTACATATGAACTGCCTATTCACAGCCATCGACCAATTCTATTTTTTTTTTAAAGATTTATTTATTTATTTGAGAGAGCGAGAATGAGAGAGCGTACATGAGAGGGGGAGGGTCAGAGGGAGAAGCAGACTCCCTGCTGAACAGGGAGCCCGACGCAGGACTCGATCCCGGGACTCCAGGATCATGACCTGAGCCGAAGGCAGTTGCTTAACCAACTGAGCCACCCAGGCACCCCCAATTCTATTAAATTATAGGTTTTTTCCCTTATTTCTAGGAGCAGGCTGAATAGAAGTATTATTGTTCTGTTATCTGTGCTGTAAAATCAGTTTTTCTAGACTCTCATTTGACTCAAGATGACTTTTGCCATTCAGAAAGTTGAAATACATACACATTTTTTAAATAATTTTGTTTCATATCTTGCTTAAGAAAGTCCCTTCTTTCCCCAAACTCTGAAATATGCTCAGTGTATTTAAATCCTCTGTTTTATTCTTCCGTTGAGATCGTTTATCTACTGGGATTTATTTTTGCATATAACATAAGGCAGGGGACGGAATAATTCAAAAATTCAGTTGTCAGGCATACAAAGAGCTAGAGCAAAAAACGAAGGAGCCGTGAGTAGGTCCACTCCGGGTATTTCTGCAAGCAGGATTAAGGTCAGATCTTGGAAGCATTTCCGGTAAGGCTTAAAACTGTCGGAGCGGGAGAGCGATTTGTAATGCAAGCAGCCTAGCTAGCTAGCACCTTATGCTTTCGCTCCCTAGTGTCCTCAGGATGATGAGACGGTTTCCTATCTAGGAACGTTGGATATGGGTTCTCTCGGCGCCTCTAGCCACGGAATATCTATCTGCCCATTGAAAAAGTCGCCTAATGAAGTCACTCAAAACATTCCGAAGCATCAAAGGCAAAAACTGAGAGAATCAACTGTCCAATAGCGAGAGGAGGGCCAGCGCGACGACGCTCTGCGCATGTGCGCTCTCTGGTGCTACTCGCCCGGGGTGCTCTTTAGCAAGTCCGGGCTTCCGGCTGGCGGCGCACGCGCATTCTCAGTTACTGTGCACTGAGCGACTGTGGGTCAGCTCGGTGCTCAGGGGCCGCTGGGAAGATGGCCGGAGTGGGCATGGCGGCTCTGGGCGCTTGGGTACCTTGTCGGAGGTGGAACAAAGCGGCAGTGTTCGGCTTCCACCGTGGCGTCACCGCGTTACTCGCAAGGAAGCCCAAGGGGACGCCGCTGTGGCTCCCAGGTGAGTGTCCGAAAGGCGGGAGAAGTACGCGTTCTTTCGAACATCGGGTTCAGTCCGTTCCTGTCTAGTGCGTTTTTGGCGCCCTATTTCAAAATGCTCTTCTCCCATTCTCAGTACCCCAGTTTTAGGCGCTTTCAACAATTCTGGTGAAGGCAGTAAGAAGACCTCTTCCTGGACCCCGGGTATCCTGCACAGCCCGGGCCCTTGCTGGCGTTTTCCGCTCTGCAGTTTTAAGGATTCTACTCCCTGCCTGCCTCCCCGCGTTAAGCGCCAACCCTAGGAAATATTAAGATGGGCGTTTATTAGTTGCTTTTTCTTTCCTTTTTCTTCGGGTCTAAGGGGTTTACAAATCTTGACTCTGTTAGGATGCTTAGACCTGCCTTTGTTTCACTTGAGGGAATTTACGGTATGAACTTTTTTGTTGTTGCAAAAGTGTAGACGCCGCCATCAAGCCTAATTTCTGATTTTGCCTTCTCGATGCTCCCTGCTCAGTGAAAACCATAATCATTACTCAACAAAGGAAACTAGAATTTGGACCAAAAATGAGAGCATCTGAATGTTTTCTTTATCTTGTCTTTGATTCTTCCCCATACCACGCTACCCTCAGTAAATATAGTCTGTCTTTCTGAATTGTGTCTTTTTATTCTCCGGTTTTGCTGTTTACACTTTTGCCATACAAGCTGTCAGGTGCACTGTGCTTGGAATAGAAACGTCATTGCTGATACCCTTTGTTTTAGTTAAAATTTTAAATGTATATAATCAGTTTAACTTACATTTAATTGTATACAACCTAAAGGCTTGTTATATGTAAGTTCCTCTATCGAAGTATGGTATGTCAGTTCATTAACTAGATTGTAATACTCTTTCATCTATTCGGCACATCATTGAGGACTTAAGGCATCAGCCTTTGAGCTAATCGTTGTAGTATAATAAGATCATTTATGGGTGTCATGTTAAGAACCTGTCCACTTACAACTCACCAGAATGAAGTAAATTGTAATTGTCTCCAGAAGAAATTCCTGTTTTGGGAAGTAATATCAAGAAGAGGATAGGAGGGATTTTTTGAGTGCTGAGCTAAGGAAATGGGAAGTTGACATTTTTGCAAATACAGTCTACCAACCAACATAACTGGCCCCTACTAGCCCCCTGGTTTTCGCTTAAAGTTTTAAATATGGCATATTTCACTATACACTGAAACTTTGAAACACATATGTAATAAGGATAGCTTTACGCCTTCAATTCAGTTTTTAAAAATTCAACTTCTCAGGCTGCCTGGATGGCTCAGTTGATAGAGTGTAGGACTCTTGACCTCAGGTTCGTGAATTCAAGCCCTACCTGGGCATAGAGACTACTTAAAAAAAAAAAAAAAACTCAAATCCAAAATGAAGGAAGCTTTTATCAACTCACGTGGAGGGGGCCGAGATGTTTTCACTGGCCACAGTAAAGGAGAGGAAGGTTTCATTTACTATAGTCCAGAAAAAGACTGTAAGGAAATACACATTTTTTTTTAGATTTATTTATTTATTGAGAGAGAAAGCACGAGTGTGTGTATGTGTGTGTGTGCGCGCGCGCGCGGCTGGAGGCGGGGGAGGGAGAGAGAGAATCCCAAGCGGACTCTGCGCTCTTCACGGAGCCCGATGCGGAGCTTCATCTCACACCCAAGATCCTGACCTGGGCAGAAATGAGAGTTGGACGCTTAACCGAGTGAGCTGCCCAGGCACCCCACAAACCTAATTTCTCTGGAAGGAGGAGGTGGGATTATAAATGACTTAATGTTCTTTTTTTTTTTTTTTTTAAGATTTTATTTATTTATTTGAGAGAGAGAATGAGAGACAGAGAGCATGAGAGAGAGGAGGGTCACAGGGAGAAGCAGACTCCCTGCCGAGCAGGGAGCCCGATGCGGGACTCGATCCAGGGACTCCAGGATCATGACCTGAGCCGAAGGCAGTCGCTTAACCAACTGAGCCACCCAGGTGCCCATGACTTAATGTTCTTTAAATATCTTTTTACTTTTTTTTTAAGAGCAAGTATAGATTTTATGGTAGGAAAAAACTTCAAAAACAATGAAACAATGAGTAACCTTGTAAAGTTTGCCAATTGTACTGTTGTACTTAAATTGCCTGAAGATCTGTGTAGCATTCACAAAAAGCCAAACCAACAAATAAAACACATAGTGATTGCAGAGCCCTATGAGAAACTTTTTCCAAAATGGTACTATTATAAATTATTCAAGG